TTAATGATTCTAATAATAGAAACATGCAGCGACAGACGACACCCCAGTCACCAGAGCACATGATGGCACTGTATGTTTCTGAAAACCACAGATACCTTTGTATTTTATTATGAAGCAGATACACGAAACTTTACATTTTAACAACCCTCAAGTTACCGTGTGGTTATATTAAATCACCTGGTAAAATACAACAGGATACGACACACATTCTCGCTCCGACCTCGTCACATGTCCACGTTTGGTCATGGACTTTCCACATCCACATATGACGTCCAAGGTACCCTGGGTGTGTTGGCTGTTGATGTTCTGGGACGCCGTGTCAACTTCAGCCTGTTACATGCATTGTCTGTTTTAAAAACACACTTCTGTTTTCACAGGAAATGTACAGTTTGCATACAAATTTTCAAAAAATTTCAAAATAAAAGCACAAAACAAAAAAAATTCAAAATAAAAGCACAAAACAAAAAAAATTCAAAATAAAAGCACTACGTCGATACAACACCGTGAAATTACTTGTTTTTGTCTTTTTTTCAACAACAGACACATGGTTACGTTTAGGACAAAAGAACAGGGTTTGGCTTTACAATCTTACAGGAAGTGAACACCAGCCTCCTGGGTGAAAGTCTGTGGTTGTTGGACCCATCCACCACCCCTCCTGCCCGCCCTACTCAGACTTCCGCCACCTTACCTTTTGTTGTTGTCCCACCATAATACCACCAGGCATCGTTAAACAGTAACAGTGACCGGCTCGTATCATGGTGACATGAAAGAACGTCTTTTTTCAGCAGTGTCAGACACTAAAGTCACCGACCAGGCGCCAGTTTTCGATGACTTCACAGTAGCTATGTTTCCATCCAAAAGTGATTCGAATCATTGGGAAATGAGCATTAAAAGAAATATGAATCCTGTGTGTTTCCATTAGATGTACGGACTTTGGTGAAAACTACGAACTCGCGCAAGTTTTCCGCAGAACCGGAAACAAAACAAGTCTCGCATTCTTCTTCTTCTACGTTTTCTGGCAGTTGGCAACCAGCTTGTAAATGCATTACCGCCTTCCCAACCCGGAGTGTGGATATCATCATGGAGAGAGGTGCGCTACGTCAGACTTAATTTGAACATAACTGTTTCCATCCCCCGTTTTGCGAATCAACATTTTTTCAAATCAACCAAAACCCGGCTAAAACGAGCGTATTTTAGTTTGTGCAAATCAGGGGATTTTAATTCGAATTTTGGCATTTCCATCATAATTTTCCGATGCGACACTTCTAGATGCGCATCTAAACAGGCTGATGGAAACATGGCTAGTGAGACTGGCGTTGGAAATGCAGCAATGAGTCACTACAAAACAACCAGTTTTGTTGTTTGTTGTTTTTGAACAGCGGTCTGCAGCTCACAGCTTATTCAGTGAATCGGCTACACATTTTTACAGCTAGAGAATTTAAGACACACTTCAGGTCTACAACGATGATAAATGAAAATGAAAATGTTAAAAAAAAAATAACCGTTATTCATTTCCATATAATTTTTTTTATCAAGAGGGGAGAAAGTGACACATGTGGCTCCAGAGCTGCAGGCTGAACTAGACAGTGTAACGTTAGCTACATTAGCTGTGTTAGCTACGTTAGCTACATTAGCCGTGTTAGCTACTTTAGCTACAGTAGCTGTGTTAGCTACATTAGCTGTGTTAGCTACATTATCTGTGTTAGCTACGTTAGCTACATTATCTGTGTTAGCTACGTTAGCTAAGCAGTACATGTTAACTTCTGAGCAGTGAGAACACAGGTTCTTCCTGATGTTGTCAGAAGTCATGTTGTGTAGAGAGCAACATTGGGCCCGTTACTAAAACAAACGTTATTATTCATTTCCCACTAGCCTCTTAAAACGTAATATTATCACCTTTAATCAAGATTTGATTGATTAACTATTCACATTATGTTCAGAGTAGTTAATCAACAGTTGCTATTGTTTCGGCTGAGAGAAAACAAACCAGCAGTAAGAACCAAACTTCACTGTGTTACAACAAGAGGCTGTCGGTCTGTGGAATAAATGATGAGCTGACTTTATCCAAACAAAAAAAAACTCTTCAGAAACAAACACTGAATGGTTACGAGCCGGACCAGTTAATTTATACCTGGTTATTTCTTGTTTATGGACTGCTTGATGGTTTTGGTTAATCTTTTCTGAATATTTTGTTCTTGTTCTGTCCAGAAGGGTCGATTTGTTGAAGCCAGGGGTTGAAAACCTGCTGTTTCGGAGCCATATGTGGCTCTTTAGCTTCGATCTCAACAGTGGCTCTGTGGCTTTGACCAAAAAATCACATGAAAATGAATAATGGTTATTTATCTATTTTTAACACTTCCATTCTTACTTATCATAGTTATAGGCCTGAAGAAATTCTTACATTCTCCAACTGTAAAAACGTGTAGCCTAAAAAAGTTTTAGCATTTTGTCTACTGAACTGTGCATCACATGTCTACGGCCTGGAGATTTCTTCTCTAAATTTTGCCAAACCTCAGCAGCAGTGGCTGCAGTAGTCTTGAGCCTTATCTTGGCTAGCGACGGCTTCAAAATCCATAAAAGTAAAAGTCTTAGTGGAAAATACAGAATTTAATAGTGTGAAGATAGATTTCTTTGCTTTCACCACCAATGCTGCCAAGTTAAAGTTCCTAATAATCATTAACAGCAAACACATTTAGACTCAATTAGTTACCAAAAGGCTCAGATATGTTTTGTGGCTCCAGGCAGATTTTTGGTCAAACATGGATCTTTTGATAGTTCAGGTTGCCGACCCCTGCTTAAAGCCGACCCAGATAAATATCACGGACACTGAGGGCTGTGGGGGTAGGACCAGAAAAGATTTAACTTCGTACTCTTTTTGAACAGGAACTATATGATTTGAGTTGCTCTTTTGTTGCCGAGGATCCTGTTTGTTTATTTAAAGAGTTAGGCGTTATATTACTTTTCTGTTACACCCCACTAAACAAGTAATGGTGTCCTGTTTGGAGCCGCTGAATGTGAGAGTTTCTGTCTTCAGCTTGATGCTTTGTGACGTTTATGCACTACGATTATGAAAATGAATCAGAGGATGTGACTGATTGTTGAATTTTAAATCAGTGGAAGGGGGCCAACAAAAGTTAAACTATAACTAGCTATTTGTTTTGGGGGTATTTTATTAGTAATTAGTTACTCTGCTCATCACTGGAGAGAGTAATGTGATTACTGTGACGTGTTCAGCAGTGACAGACAGTGAAGGTGAGAACAGACAGCGTGTATAAGAACGTGCTCATACACAGTAACGCTGACTTGTTTACTTCCTCAACTTCGTCTTTGGGAGTTTTTTCCCCCAGAATGCATCAGCCTCCCCTCACTGTTCCAGCAGCAGTATGAATGTTTGAGGTTAACGTGATGGCGTAGGTGGAACCCGTCGCTTGTTGTTCCCTGGTGTGTCATGGAGCAGGTGGATAATGGTCCCAGTGTGTGTGTACTAACTGGTCCTAACTGGTGCCACGCTGCCCTGAGCAGACAGACAATGGTGGTTATTCTGCTCCGGGCCGCAGAGAGCGTGAGTGGGTGTAAGAAACGAGCAGCCTGGGGACAGAGACAGGGGCGTCCAATATGGCCTCCACACAGTGACAGGACTGTGTGGCAGTCTGGAGGGGGACGACAGCACCACAAAGATCCGTCTGTCTGCCAGTACAGACACAATCTGAGTGTCATCGTGGGACGGGGGAGGGGGGGCGTCGTCGTCAGTCCCGTTTCATTTGGCTGAGCTGGGACGGCCGGGTGTGTTCATCTGGGGATGCTGACAGAGATGCGTCAGGACGGTCAGACAGAACGGTGCCAAAGCCGGCTTGATATAGAACAGGAGTGGAGTTATGTCTGTTTGGAGCGTGGACGGCGTCCTCTGGCTTGTTGGGATGTCCCACTTTAGAGAGGGTTAATAACAATCAATGGGACGGAGGATGGACTCTACAGTAACCTCTTAAGAACCTGGACACGGTGCATCTCGTCACTGTGATCCGTCTCATTCTTTATACAAGTGACACTGTTTCTTCTGTCCGCCATTTTGGACCTGACAGCACCTGTGAGTACGACCTGGTCCCACCATCATATTTGACATGAACAAAATCAGTCATCTGTTATCGATGACCTATTTCAAGAACAACTTTTGGCACAAACGACCATTTGAATTCAAGGATGAACTGATTAGATTTTGGTGGTCAAAGGTCAGATGTCAAGGTGAAAGGTCACTGTGACCTTGCAGCGGTCTCATTCTCGTGAACGCGATTTCTCTAGAACACCTTGAGGAAATTTCCTAAAATTTGGCACAAACACCCACTTTGAGTCGAGGATAAATTGATTTAGTCAGACATCTCAGGTTTTAAATGTTTATTTCGACAGCAGGATATACTGTAAAACTTTTGTTAGTAGCCCCTGGGCTAATATTTGCTTAAATCGCTGAAGTCAACAGGCCTTTATTTGGGACAGGCCTTTAATTCCTTTCACGCAAAACTGTTGCTCAGCAAAGATCAGGAAATAAACCAGTATGAATATTACTTGTGTAAAAATGAGGCTTCAAATAATATATCAGTTATGAATCATTTATTTGATCTAATCGTCGTACATGTGCTAATTTAGGAATCATTCCTGTGGGTCGTAGTCAGAGGTCTGAACATACAGCTCCTGTGGTCGTGTGGGTCGGACGACTTGTTGCATCTTTGCAGACTGTTTACAAATGTGAGCTGTCGGTCAGAGCAGCCATTGATTTCCATCCATTTTCTAATGTATGAAAATCGATTAGCATTGCTAATTGAGTCTGAGTGATGTCATCCATCAGAGTGATCCTCAATCCTGCAGTAATGCTTTGTAACGCAGCTCAATCACAATCCTCTCCTCTCCTCCTCTTCCTCCTCCTCCACCTAGAACCACCACATCCTCATCATCATTTAGAGCCTGATGATGAAGGATCTAACACTCTTCCTCCTCCTCTCTTTCTCCAGTCCAGCTCCTGAAGTCGGCAGACGTCGGCCGTCACAGTCTTCTGTACCTGAAGGAGATCGGGAATGGCTGGTTCGGGAAGGTAAGCCTCCTCTGACACCTCCGTCTTCATCACTTCCTGCTGCTGGTTGTGACGGTCGCCGTAGCTTCCTGCCGGGTAGATGAAAGGCAAACACACATCAGGGCTGTTAGAGTTAAAGATGGCCGACGCGCTGACACGTTACCTGTGATCCAGGTGTCTGTGATGTCAACACGTCTCGCAGGTGGACATATGTTGTGAATCACTTCCTGTTTTTACTCTCAGATAACATGTTGTTGTCGTTCTCTCCCTCTCTGTCTCCGTCCACTCATCAACATCCATGCGTCCTCTCCATCCTTGTTTACCTTGACTGGGTATGTCCATCTGTACGTCTGTCTGTCTTTGGATTGTCCTCCCTGACTTCCTGCATGTCTGTCTGTCTGTCCGTCTGTCTGTCTGTGTCTGTGTAATGGTCACTCCCACTCCATGCTCTGTGGCTTTGTTTGTGTCTGTCTTTCCATCCGTCTGTCTGTCTTCTCTGTGCGTATATGTCTCTGTCTGTCCTCTGTTTCAGGTTCTGCTCGGGGAGGTGAACGCAGGTCTCAGCACCACCCAGGTGGTGGTGAAGGAGCTGAAAGCCAGCAGCAGCGTGCAGGACCAGATGCACTTCCTGGAGGAAGCTCGGCCTTTCCGGTACTTAATAATTTATAGTATATTTTCACAAATACTGCTGATACTATCACTGTTGGCTAGTTTTTTATGTTTTATATATTTTTTATATTTTAAATTTAAGATTTTGAACCTTGCTGTGAGTTCGTTCTTGTATTAAATGTTCTCTGGTTTTCATGTAGTTTTATTTTCACCAAACATTTCCTCCTCCTCGAACTTTGTACTGAAACTGCTGCACAGAAATTTACCTCAGGATTAATAAAGTTCTATCTTATCTCATGCTCCTCTTCCTCTTCTCCTCCTCAGAGCCCTGCAGCACCCGGCCCTCCTGCAGTGTTTGGCTCAGTGTACTGAGGTCACTCCGTACCTGCTGGTGATGGAGTTCTGTCCTCTGGTGAGTCTCCGAACCTGCTGAGGGTTTAAAGAGATTATCACAGATTAACACCTGAAACACACACACACACACACACACACACACACACTCACGGTCCTGATGATGATCACTGCTCTTCACTAATTATCAGTTTCTGTTTGTCACCACAGGAAGTGAAATCTGACTCTAGTGTTTAACAGATGTTCACAAGAGGTCTGATCTGATTGGATCAAATCTTAAAATGAGTCGTTCAAAAAGGTCAAAGGTCAGCTTGACTGTGACATCATCATCATGTTTTAACGTCATATCTCAGGAACAGAAGGGGAGACATTTGGTCAGATACTGAATTGGTGACTCAAATCTTGAAACTGTGCTGATTGTATAGATCTACTGTGTGTAAAGCATCCATGTTTTCACTGACATGGATGGAGACTGTCAGAGACACTGGACTGGTGGGCGGAGTCATACAACCACCGGGCAGTAATACTAGTTTATGGTAAAATCAGATATCTGTAATAACAGAGCAAACGCTCTCAGGTGATCAGTGCGATCCGCCTCTTTGCTACGACTTCTCTCTTCTGTTGTGCAGCGCCCGCCATCGATGACACGTCTGGATTATAATGTCTCTGATCAACCTGTAGAAAACAAGATCTTTGAACAGAACCGGCTCAGGAACCAGAGCTGATCTGGTGTAAAAGGTTTATCAGGGTTGATTCGAGGCTAAACCACATTTGGTTCATGAAGTGTATGAAAATAATCCTCAGTGTGAGACTCTCTGACCTCCACTCTGCCTGACACCCTGTTTCTCATTCGGCACATTAAATGAATTAAAAACGTCTCATAATTTGAACTTTATTGGATTGTTTTGTTAATGACTTCTGGCAGTAAAATCATTCTTGGCCGCTGCTGTAAATATTTGGCAGGTGAGCTCAGAGTTTTCAGTCCTGCTACAGTTGTAGGTCTCAGACCGCAGCCTTAAACGCTCCATCAGCTCCGACAGCAGTGAGTAGATTTAACTCTGACATTTATTCATCAGAGAATGAAGAGCTGGCCTCCACCACTGCTCATCCATCAGGTTTTAATTCACTCCACTGTGTAAGTGACGTAAATCTGTGACAGCTCAGTTCTTCACAGTAACATTTAATTTCAGAATTGTCCAGAAACAAGCAGAGGCCCCTCTGATTGGTCTGTTCCTCCCAAACAGTTCAGTATAAACTGAGGACACAGAGTTGATGTGAATCACAGTGACAGGACTGCCCTCTGCTGGCTGGAGGCTGTAACACTCAGACATTTGATGTGTGTGTGCAGGGCGATGTGAAGGGTTACCTCCGGAGCTGCAGGACTGCAGAGACCATGACCCCAGAGCCCCTGATCCTCCAGAGGATGGCCTGTGACATCGCCGCAGGACTCCTGCACATGCACAAACACAACTTCACACACAGGTAGGAACCGATGTCTGACGTCACACCTGTCTAGCCTCCCGGCCACAGTCAGACAGCGTGTCTCTGTGAGCAGTGCGACCTGCCCTCGGCCTCTTGGTTTCTTCCTGGAACAATATCCTGGTGCTGCCTGAGTGCTCCTCACAGACTCCAGCATCAGTGATTTTGTTGCAGGCGGTGACCTTCGTCTCCGGACCAGCTGACGCCTCCTGTCAGTCAGAGGCAGCAGTGACCATGAGTGTGATGAGCATGTGACCATGAGCATGTGCTTTCAGACAGATGAATTATATCGTCTCATTGTCAGTGAGTGTTTTTACATTAACTCTGGCCCTGCTGTGACGCTCCTGCTCCTGTTGTGTATGTTTAGAACTGATGAAGAGCTGTAGCAGCTGTTAAAAAAGAATAAAGACATTAAAAAAGAAAAACAGGGACAAGACAGACAGAACAGTAAGAACAATGAGGAAACATGACAAGCATGTATGAATAAATAAAATAGTTGGATGCTCATATATATGCTCATAGTTTAAAGTGCTTAGGAATTTGAGCATATATATGAGCATCCAACTGTTTTATCTATTTATACATGCTTGTCACGTTTCCTCAATGTTCTTACTGTTCTGTCTTGTCCCTGTTTTTCTTTTTTAATGTTTTGTATTTATTGTTTTTAATGCTATACAGTAGGCTGTATAACAATGGAATGTGTAATGGTGACCACATGAATTTCCCACTTGTGGGATAATAAAGTTTACCTTTACCTTGACCTCCTCCTCCTCCTTCTCTGTAACCAGTGACCTGGCTCTGAGGAACTGCCTTCTGACGGCTGACGTCTCAGTGAAGATCGGAGATTATGGTCTGGCTCAGAGCAAATACAAGGTCTGTTTATCAGAAAGTCAAACATGTAAAACATAAACAGTTTGATTTTACAGGAAAATCATTTGTCCTCAGTATTTAGAAAAAGAAATAAATAACACAGAAGCAACTGATCCTTGTTCAGTTTGTCTGTAGAGCTGCGTAACAACACCAGGAGCTAAAGAGTAACTGAGTGGATGAATGAGTTACCCAGGTATGACGGAGGCTGACGAACACACCCAGGGAAAAAGAAATTACAGATTACAAGAACAAAGTTGTAATAATATGATAATAAAGTTGTTATGTAATGTGAATAAAGTCAAACTATTTCAAGAAAAAAGTCATAATATTCTGTGAATAAACTCATGAATTTGTGCGAAAACAGTCAGTAAAATTACAACTGTAATCTTGTAATATTAAGATTCTTTTTCTTGTAAAATTTTGTGTAATGTTCTGATTTTTTTTTCTTGAAAAAGTATATCTTTATTGTCACTAAATTACTACATTATTCTGTGAATTTACAATTTTTTTCTTATAAAATTACATTATTTGCATAATGTTATAACTGTTTTTCTTGTAACATTTTTTTTCTCATTCATTTTTTATCTAATATTACGATTTTATTCTCAAATCTCAGATTATTATTTCCCCCTTCATGTAGCCCTACTCCTCCGTCCTACTACAAACATCCTTTACTCTCCTGAAAGAGTTTCTACAGATCATTTAAATCCTCTGAGCATTTTTCACTTGTTTTTAATTATGTTTAATTTAAAAGTTTTTAGAAATTGATCACAATGGAACAAATAAATTAGTTATCAACTTTCAAAAAGTAATTTTTGTTTTGTTGATGTTTTTTTAATTGTGCAGCTGATGTTATTACTGATGGTCTTCTGTCCCTCTCTGTCCTCTCTGTCCTCTCTGTCCTCTCTCAGGACGATTACTTTGTGACATCAGATCAGGTGTACGTGCCGCTGCGTTGGATTGCTCCAGAGCTGGTGGACGAGGTGCACGGAAACCTGCTGGTGGCGGACCAGACCCAACACAGCAACATGTGGTACGACACACACACTCTCACACTCTCTCACACACACACACACACACACACACACACACACACACATTTATGAGCATAAAATGGATCTCAGATCAGGGCTTTTCAGGAGGACTGAGTTTATCAGTTGAGAGGAAAAAACGGATCTAAATAAAGTCTCTGTCCCCGGAGGAAATGACACTGACTTGTTGCATTTACACTTCCTGTGTTGGATCATCACAGTGTTCATGACTTCCTGTGTCTCAGGTCTCTGGGCGTGACGATCTGGGAGCTGTTTGAGTTGGGGAACCAGCCGTACAGACACTACTCAGACAGACAGGTCCTGACCTACGCTGTGAGGGAGCAGCAGCTGCGACTGCCCAAACCGCTGCTCAAAGTACCGCTGGCTGAACGCTGGTGAGAAAAAACCACCACACGTCTTTACTCAACAGACAAACACAATATTCAGAGCAACGTGTTCACTTCTTTGTCACTGTGATGTTTGTCTTGATGGTTTTGTTTCCCTGTAACGGGGATGCCATGTTTCTCTTCCGACAATAGCGAAGGCATGACCCGCCCTACTCTTCCTCTGATTGGCCAGAACTCTTTGCCTTCGTAGGTAGACAGCAGTATTTAACAAGTTCAGTTGTGGCCAGCAGCAGCTATTTGTGACACCACTAGCCACAACCAAACTTGTCAAAAAACGGAGTTGTATCACACCGCCATGAAAGGTGCCTCTGTACGTCGGTATCTGACACAGAATTCATTGACTAGGCGTCGGTATTTGACATGCTGGGAGGCATTCAGGGCGCTCCTAAAAAAACAGGAAGTGCATAGAGCAGAAAAACTGTAGACCTTCAGCAGCGTACGAAACATGTCACTTACTGAAAAGCATCACAAAAAGCCGCCACAGGCTGCTAAAACACGCCGTGTCTTGATGAGGCCAAAGGCAGAGTAGGGTGGGTCACGCCTTCACCATCCTTGGAAAAATAAACTTACGTTGTGGACATACTAGAGACATTTTGTCAAGCTGTCTGTCTTTAATTAAATTATATTTTTTACCATTTGAGCAGAATGGAGCACATTAAATGATTGCACCAAAAACATCTGGTGGGATTTCATCTTCTCTTTCTGTCTGTCTGTCTGTCTGTCTGTCTGTGCTCGGGCTCCTCAGGTATGAGGTGATGCAGTTCTGTTGGCTCCAGCCTGATCAGAGACCCAATGCAGAGGAAGTCCACCTGCTGCTCAGCTACCTGTGTGCGAAGGGGGCCAGTGAGGCCGAAGAGGACTTTGAGAGGCGATGGAACTCCCTGCGTCCCAACACCGGATTCAACAGCCATCGCGGTGCCTCGGTATTGTCACGAGACCACCCCTCATCAACCTCCTCCTCGTTCCCTCTCCTCGAGCAGTTTTCATCTGGTGACGGCTACCACTCAGAGTCCGGGGACGATATCCTGACAGTCACTGAGACCAGCCACGGCCTCAACTTTGAGTACAAGTGGGAGCAAGCCAGGGCGGAGCAGTCGTATCGAGCCCCAGACTCGTCCAGCACCCTGGGTCAGGTCAGCCATCACTGTCAGGAAGCATTTTACCCACCAGGGGGCATCGTGGGAGGCTGCCCCATGGAGAGCCTCAGCCACGGATTGTCCCCTTCATACTACCAATCAAAACATCTCCATGCTCCAGGCATACTTCCTGTCCTCAGCGCCCACAGCCCCTCAGTAAGCAGTGAATACTACATCCGCATCGAAGAGCCAGTAGACTGTAACATGGACCCGGACTACACCATGTGCTCCTACAGCCCAGACTACCAGGGCAGCAGTGGGAGCTTTCTGACTGGGAGTGCCGACTCAGGCGAGTGCATGGCCTGCCCGTCACAGGCTAAGAACATGGGTCCCTATTGGTCAGCAGACATCCATAAGTCCGACATGTACGACTCAAATGAGTCCAGTCCTGCGATCTCCCTGACGATGGAGCCCCTCTTAGGGCAGGTGTTGGACAGCAGCCCACTGCGACCCTGGGAGTCCAGTCACTACGTGTCCTATAAAGACAGAGATGGCGGTTACTACTACGAGCACTCGCCACCGTTGGGAATCGATCACTATCTGATTGGAGCTGAGACTGCCAGTGAGCGCCATCAGGAAAGCTGGGGGTCAAGGAGTCTGCGTCAGGCCTTGGGCGAGTTGGAGAACCCACTGGGTATTTCCCCAGCTGTGAACAGTGCACCTCAACAGGCCTACAGAGACACGTACCTGGACACAAGTCAGACTTCCATCATCGGAAAGAACGTGACAGGGGGCTACTAAGACATGATGGGCTCCCTGAGGAAGACGATGCCCAACCACACCAGGCACCACAGCCACTCTGTCAGTATCAACATGGAGACACAGGGGGCGCTCTTCATCGGGCACAGAGACAGCGACACAGAGGAGGAAGAGGAAGAGGACATATTTGTTGAGAGACACACCTGCAACACTTGGCCTTCAAAACACCGCCACAGCAGCGTGGGTCACCACAGACGCGCCAGCCACAGCTGCAGACAGGACGCATACGTGGATTTCCACTACACAATGCCGAGTACAGACATCGAGGATTCGTGGCCGGAGGAGCACAGCCTGGCCTTCCACACTCTACCCAAACCCATCGACTATCTTGAACCCCACCAGGCCAAAGATAACAGTGTCTGCCTCAGTCTGAGTAAACACCATGCCATGGTGCCCTCAGACAGCTGCAACGCTTACATCTACATGTGCCAAGAGGGCGAGACTCAGGTGCCGGCGCCTGGAGAGTGCTGCCACTCGCACTTTGTTGACCCACTCACAGGCTTGCTGGTCAGAAACAACAGCTACAGTCACAGCTACAGTCACAGCAGCTACATCAGCGATAAGGCCATTGACATCCCGAGCAATGATGAGATGATCAACCTATCACCGGCTCCGGGGGGCCCCATTGTGGCCAAAACGGCCCTGATAAAGACTGAGGAGAGCAGAGAGCAGTATGTTGATCTAATAACTGATGATTCACTCTTCAAAGACAAGAGGGACGATGTAATCAAAGAAAAACCAATCAAACCCACAGACCCTAAAACAGAGGAAGTGACCCTGACCACAGCCGCAACCACTCCACCTCCTGCCGATAACACGCACGTGATGGTGGCCCTCACAGATCAGCAGTCGGAGCTGAGTCACACAGGCGACAGCGGGGTTGACCGAGGAGGCTCCAACGTGAGCCTCGCCGACATCCTTGACTGCAGCGACGAGGACGAGGATGATGACATCACGGACGATATCACTGACGTTACCTCAGGCATCTTTGCGGACGAGTCCAGCGAGCTGAACGCGTCTCCGGCCTTCAAGTCTCTACAGAAGCAGGTAGGAACTCCTGATTCCATGGACTCCATGGATCTGCCATCTGCAGCCGGGTCCTGTGAAGGCTTCAGTCCTGCATCCTCCCACCCGTCCAGCTCACCTAAAGCTATGGACAGTGGCTACGACACAGAAAATAATGAGAGCCCTGAGTTTGTACCCAAAGAGCCTCATGAACCCCGGGAACAACCTCTGGGGAAGTCCGCCCTCGACACAAGCCTGGAGGAGGACAAGAAGCTGGAGGAGCCTGGAGGTGAAGTGGTGACCACAGAGGATGAACCCTCACAGACAGAAGACCACATCCTTCTACCACTGAGCGATAAGACTCCGTACAGAGACTCTGCCTACTTCTCAGACTATGAGAATGAAAGGCAGAGTAGGGACGAAGATGATGTTGAGAAGAAGGGTGAGAAGAGGAAGAACGAGGAGGAGGAGGAGGAGGAGGAGGAGGAACTAAATGACTCTGTGGTGAGCAAAGACATAAAACTTGATATGAAACACATATCAGCAGAAGCAGAATCCTCTTCTCTACCAGACACAGAAGAGTGTGACCAGGACGATGTGCTGGGACTTCCTCTGGAGTCCTCCGACACTGCTTCGTTAACAGAGGGGGGGCTGGACGAATGGCCGTCACAGGAAGAGAGCTCGTCGTTAGGAGACTGGGCAGCAGAGGTGGTGGGAGCCATGGAAGAAGCCCTCGGTGCCCTGAATGGAGACTGTACCTCTAATGTCGAGGTAGAGGAGGAGGAAGCAGAAGGTCAAGATTCATCAGAAACAACAGAAGAGTCAGAAATCAAGACGGCTCCAAACCGGCCATCGGGGATATCTGGTGAACTCACACACTCTTTACCCAAAGACGAGGTGGCCTTACAGCAAACAGCAAACACCAGGAGGTTTTCTTCTTCCTCTCCGCCACCTCCATCCACCCCTCCCCCTCCGCTCCCTGCAGCAGAGGGCCGAGGGTCACCAGCTGATGGGGAAGAGGCGGACGAGGAGGACGGCGACACCGAAGACAGCGACGAGTCGGATGAAGAGCTGCGGACCTACAGCGTGCAGGAACAGAGCGGAGGGGAGGACAGCGAGGACGAGTGCCACCCGGTGCCCATCGTGGTGAGTGACGACAGCGAAGCTCACAAACTTCGCAGCCTCCTGAAGATGCCGACGCTGCTGACAGTGGAGACCCTGGAGGAGGAGCTGGATCGCAAGAAGAAGACGGTGTCTTTTTTCGATGATGTCACCGTTTATCTGTTTGATCAGGTGAGTTGCAGCGAGCATTTACTCATTGTTTTAACCTTCTTTAAAATGCATCAGGTTTAGTTCTGGCCTCATTAGACAAACATCCCATAATAACCTCTGAGTACTTTGTAATTCAAGTGTTCTGAGAGAGTTCTATGTAGTTTTCTCAGAGGTTAGAAACATACACGAGCTGAGAGGAGAGTGAATATTGGACTAATGTCGGGTTCAGACTGCACGATATCAGTTTGATTGCGACGCAACATCGTACGGTGTTGGCTTGGAGCATGAATGATAATGAGTGTCGTATGTGTTAACCATCGTTTCATCTCATGTAGTGTGTCATAGTAGACGACAACCGACGCTGCGTCTGGGACACCTCACTACGTCCCAACAGAAAGTCTAGCATGTTTGATTTTCTTTTTGTCATCTACGACTTCTCCCGTCACAGCCGTCACTTTGACCAGTAGGAACACAGAGCGATCTGCTGCCATGGAAACTGTACGACAACAACAGCCCAGCCTTTTAGATATTTCCTGTAGGGACGTTAGCACACAGAGTAAAAAGGAAACAGCAGAGGCACTTTATCAACCCGCTGAGTACTGCCATTAGCATCAAGCTAGCAGACAATGTTCTTTCTTCATAATGGAGGATATAAAGGAGTAAAATTCACAGATAGTGTCTGGGCCTTTACTCAGCACAGCTGCAGAGGCTACCAGCTGCATTTCAAACACACTACACTAGAAATAGGTCGTTATTTCGTCGTCATTTTAACCCTGATAAATTTAATGCATCACGCCGTCATTTCAAACTCAATACTTCCTGTATCTGTTTCAAATTAAAAGCCCCTTATAACTTCAGCTGAGAGAATCCCTGCATTTTCTAAAAAGGTTTTTAGTGTGAAACATTTGCAGGAACTTCCTGTGGAGGATTCAGCAATGAGCTCCGCCCATGTGGTGACACTTTTTACGTTACTACAACAACATTTCGGCTGGCACATGAACAGACACAGTGACTGAAACAAAAGTAATAATAATAAAAAACAGGACAAGAATAACCCGATGACATCACACATGTCGTGAAGACGACCAGCAATGATTGTTCGTGGACTATCATGTAGTCTGTCATGTCTGTCGGCCAAGTCACGGCAAGTTTTTATGACTCCACAATCCCCTAATCTGACACAGAGACTGTAGGAACAGACAAACATGTTGTGTGGTGTGAACCCTGTGTAACATTCATCAGGTGGGAAACAGGACTCCGAATAAATGCTAATTTCGCAGAATGAAGTTTGCTTATATGTTAGCTGTAAAAATATAAAGTAGGACTGTCATTTACTTTTATAATTTTGATTAAGTGCTGATTTTCAATAGTTTATTGCGATTAATCTCATTATTAATTGCTTGTATAAAATTACACTATTTTGTGTTTCATTACACTTTTGAAGTTTGTTAACAAGGTGAAGAAATTCTTACCAGAGTGTTTGGATTGAGGATCAAATGAATACAAAGAAACTGACTTTATGATTTTGACTTTTAGATTTATTTCTATTAAATCAGTGCTGTGTTGCTACAACACTGTGGTCTGAAATTAAGAGGACATGCCAACCTGAGGACGTCCCTCAGCCCTGAGTCTTCCACCATGTGGACTGGTCTGCAGTCAGTTTCCTCCCATCTGTCAGCGCTGTAGTTACATTTAGTTTCATCCACAGGTCTGTGGTGATTCACTGACCACAAAATAGCTTTGTGCCGTCTTTGGTGAATCAGTGGTGATGGCGTGGTTGCTCGCCAACATCAGTCTGATCAGCTGCTCCTGTGAGCTCAGCTTATGGACTTGGACACAAGGTGCAGATTACTGCTGACTGTCAGCTGAGCTGTGTGAGAGTATTTAAAGTGAAAGGAGACGTTCAGAAGCTCAGTGGTGTCTTATTTTCCATCACTGCAGCAGCAGGAAGCAGGAAGATGCTACGGCAGCTTTACTACAAGTACGGGTGTGTCGAAGGGACAAAATAGCAGCACGCAAAAAAAGAAAATAAAGCTAACGTCCGGACCGTAATCCTAATGCTTACAGCCCTAATATAAACCAGTGAAATGTGGCTGTGTGTGTCTCTGCTTACACAGCTTAACACACCCGGCTCAGATCAAACATTCAGTCGATCTTAAAAGTGATGTTTCATTTTCTCTGTCTGAACTTCACCACCAGGAAAGCCCGACCAAGGAGCTGGCTGAGCACGGCTTCAGTTTAGGAGCTGAGGGTCAAAGTTCACGGAACAAATCCCAGGAAAGACTCAACGCGTCAGATGACTCTTCAGATGGGAACATCTCAGAGGAGAGTGCGTACAACAACACGTCTCTGTATTTAAATAAAGATCTGATCAGTCGGCTCGTTTCAGCATCAAGAACTCACCTGATCCTCAAATATCAGATATACCTTTTTAAAAATATGTCCTGTTATCTGCAGGTGCAGGGTACGAGTGGGAAGACGACTTCCCTCTGCTCCCTCTGCCAACGTCCTCAGTGGCGTCTGACTCCCCTCCACCCCCCCGCTCCGTCCCCAAAGCTCCGGACCCCAAACCAGCTGTCCGGTTCTCCCGCTTCACTGTCTCCCCCTCCAACGTGTCCCGTTTCTCCATCACCCACATCTCTGACTCTGACATGGACTCTGCAGGAGGTGAGTCGCCTCGACACAACAACTCAAACTGATCACAGACACAAGGTTTGGTTAGGGGCGAGATTTCACTGACACACAGAAAGATCTAGTTTTCTGAGATTCAGATCAAATTTCCCACCAAATTGAAAGTGGTTCCTACATCAGTGTTTGCAAAGAAAACCAGATCAGTGTGTCTTTATCTCTGTAGGTGAAAGGACTCCCTGACACTGTTCAGCTGATTTCATCTCTTAGTTCATGAGTCTGACACCTTTTCATCGTCTGTCACTATTAAAGAGCACAAAACACAAAACATGTGGAGCTTTTTTCCCAAACAGAATATAAACGAACCCAGGAGTCGACTTTACTGTAGATGAGTTTATTCTGGCTGAAACACCTCCTTAATGTGTATTGGCTCCTTCTCGTCTCTGGAGTCACTGATTTAATGAGATTAATTTAAACTGCCTGTGTTGGTCCTCACAGCGCTGAGCTGATGCTGCAACAGAGACAGTGGAACAGAGATAATACCATCAGGATTACTGTAATCATTTGAGCTTGTTGTCTGAAAAACTTAAAATAATATTATATCTTAACAAATATCTGAACTTAAAGGAAGACGTCATCTACAAAACAATCATCTGTATATCAGTTATTCACCCTGTGTTACGTTGGATTCATGCAGAAAAGTTTGGTCTGTTTGTGAAGTCTGATATAGTTTTGCTGTTGTTAAAGTTGGACCCCATTAACTTCAGTTCATGAAGAATTTTGCTGTTTTTGTATTCACCGTGGAGGCATCAGAGACAAAGTTATCTTCACAAATCGAACATAACACGAGGGAAGTATTTAATAAACACATGCTCATTTTGTAGGTGAAGTATTTTAAGTTGGCTCCTCTGAGTTTTAATCAAAGTGTCAACTCTCAGAGTAACTCTGATCTAAATGCAGACAAATTCAAAACCATGTCTGGATGTGTTTTAGTTAATATGTTAATTAAAAGGCTACTTTCATCTTGTATTAGTCTTAAAGGGATAGTGCACCCAAAAATGAAAATTCAGCCATTATCTACTCACCCATATGCCGAGGGAGGCTCAGGTGAAGTTTTAGAGTCCTCACATCACTTGCAGAGATCCAAGGGGAGAGGAGGTAGCAACACAACTCCACCTAATGGAGGCTGACGGCGCCCCAGATTCAAACGTCCAAAAACACATCATTGAAACCACAAAATATCTCCATACTGCTCGTCCGTAGTGATCCAAGTGTCCTGAAGCCCCGACATAAAAAGTTGTGTCTCTCTACACCACACTCACGTGTGTGCGCACAAGACCAGCGAAAGCACGTGAACACACATGAACACGGTGCCCATGTCTCACGGTCTCGTGCAAGCATGCACACATGAGCTCGGTGCACAGAGAGGCAGTCAGAGCTACAGGCTACAATGAGGCTAAAAACAGAGATCAAATGACGTTCTTCCAAACAACTTTTTATGTCGGGGAGTTGTGTTGCTACCTCCTCTCCCCTTGGATCTCTGCAAGTGATGTGAGGACTCTAAAACTTCACCTGAGCCTCCCTCGGCTTATGGGTGAGTAGATAATGGCTGCATTTCATTTTTGGGTGCACTATCCCTTTAATCCCGGTCTGGGACACGGGCCCATTAAAGATCCTCTTGTTGGCTCCAACGTGTTGCGTCAGACTCAGTGTCAGTGTGCACCACACCAGTGAGATCATAAACTTTCTCGCCAGCTTCTGTAGAAATCTGCCAACATTGTGGAGACAAAGAGTTGTGTTTATGAATCCTCTGTGCCTCGCTCTGTCTTGCAGGAAGCAGTGAGGACGGGGACAAAGAGTAACCAGCTGTGGAGATTTACTGCCTCTGTGACAACTCTTTGGCCTGCTAGCATGACTTCTAATTTATTTTTTACCGTCAGGTTTTAGAAACACAAGACAGTGCCTCTTACCGCCTGTGGACACTTTTGAAAGGTCCGTCTTACCGAGAAGAGAATGGTTAATATATAACATTTACAGAATATTAATATATACTGTATGTATGATGTAAAGAATCTTTGGACGCAGGGGAAGCTTGTATTGTGCATATTTTTGGGATCAAAGAGACACAAAGGAAGGACAGCGTCACATTTGCCACCTCGTTCACTTGTTCATTTGTGATGGGAAGCACCGATGAGAGCGTGGAAACACCTGGACTCACAGACACACGACAGACGGACGCTGAGTTCTGGCATTTCAACAAAAGGATCAGCACTTTGAACGAGACTGTACAGCTCCACAGACTTTGTACTTTTTAGGAAACTGCTTTACTTGTCTTAAATATTGAGGAGAATCCCTGAGGTATCATGAGTAATATAACATTAATATTTGGTTCGTTAGGAGACGAAGGACGTGCTGGTGTGACAGGAGGGAATTTTAATGTATGGTTACAGGATGGCTTTTGTGGAAGCAGCTGATTGAACCTGGACAATGTGATATTTTGTGACTCTATTTATTTTTCTTGTTTTTGTACCAGGACCACTACTGTACTGTTTTACATGAATCTGTGGCTCATTCTCTCGACCAAACTGAGCGCCAGCACCGCCATCACAGCTGACCCCTCTTCGCTGTAAACACCAGGCACAACGTTGTCGCCGTAGTGACAGGAGGTGACGGAAGTTATTTAACTCTTATTAAAGGTTTAACAGTTTTTCAGATATAGCAATGCATGGTTTCAAGTATCTAGAAAACAGTATCTATAAGAATTTATAGCTCGGAGACAGAAGGGGACAGCTTTTGGTTTTGGAGCAGAGACAGACACACATGGTCACAGAAATCACGTTTCCTCTTTCTGCCAGAACAAATTGGCATCAAGACAGGACGCTGATGATTTGGACGCTACATAAAGACACCAGTTCTCCATAAAGACACGGACCAATAGGGCTGGGCCATATGGACGAAATCTTCTCCACAGTATATGCCATATTATACTGTGATAATGGCATATGTTTTCATAAAGTACTTTATTTGAACCTCACGTTTGAAATTGTTAAAGGTCCAGTGTGTGGGACTTATTGGCAGAGATGGAATATAATCTTATCAGTGTATTTTCTTTAGTCTCAGTGGTTTCAGCGTTAGATACCTGACACCAAAAGCCATCCTTTGCAGTGGTATTATACGCCACCAGATGGCATCAGTTTGTAACGCAGCAAATCATAACATTTTCTGTGTTATGACATGCCGCTGGTCAGCTGGACGGCACCTGTTAAAGAAGTATGATACGCAGACAGGCGGCATCAGTTCATAACGCTGCTGGATGGCACCTATCATGGAGGTATGATACCCTGCAGGACGGCCTCAGGTCGAAATGCTACCAGTAACGAGGTAATCTAAGGAGCTGGAAAGTCCCTACAGGGTGGATGGGAGGAGTGGTGGATCAGAGGCCTGCACGGGTCCATTTTTGAAAACTGGCACCTACCCTAGCCTCGCGTCACCTGGCTCTTCACGTAAGGCAAAGAGCCTGGTTTCTATTCACTCTGAATTTTGTCTGGATTCTGGTTCTGGTCTAGAGAGCGGATGCGGAATTCACCAAATTCACCAAAGTAAAACTTTAAGTTCTGGCGCACCATCGATTTGGGGTGATGAGGGGTGTAAGAAAATCGATTAACTTAATGGCTTGGGGCTTTTCTTGTAAATTGTATTCTTTAAATTAAAAAGTTTCAAAACATTTTTATTAGCTTGGTGCTTTTATTTTGAAGGAAAGGCGCATCCATCGAATTCCGGATCCTGTCTCACTCGCCCTGGTTCCGGTTCCTTACCAAAATAGCCACTAACGGCCCCAGACTACACCTGCCTATACCCATAAAGCTCAGTACCAGACCCTCCCTGTTACCCGTCAATAAAACGATCAAACACACAAACTCACATGAAGCTTGGTTCTCCAAATCCAGCGGAGGAGACGTCTCTTTCAAGCATTCAGTCACTGCCAGGTTAGGAAACATTTTAGCATGCCTCTTTCAATACATTTTTTCCGACATTTCTTTGACATTTATTTCTGAAATTTTCATAATATTTTTCAGACATTTTATCAAAATGTTTTTCGACATTTTATCATAATTTTTTCAGACATTTCGTTAACATTTTTCTCCACCATTAATGCTCAAAAGGATCCTCCTTGGGTGTCTTGAACTCCTCATCCTCAGGCTGCAAATTTCCACGTCAGTGACAATGGGGTCACTGTGGCTTGATAATAGCGATTTAGATGTTTTTGTTCCATACATATTTTTACTCATTGCACAGCTACGGTACCCAACCTGATGCAGATGTGGTGCTCATACCTGGCTCCAAAAATCCAAGATGGCGACAGTCAAAATGCAGGTCTCCAGGAGAGCAGCTGGTATCACGGCATTGCAGTGAAAAAATTTCCGGCGGCCCAAAAATTATTTCTGTCAAAGTGGTGACACCTCCAACTGCAAACAAGCTCAATTATGACTCTTTTTCATGGAGGTTTTATATTTGTAAAACTTGACGATTTAAAATTAGATGATGTCATCACAATGTAAAGTCTATGAGCTGAGCAGCAACTTGTGGGTGGAGTAATTTTTTATTTATTTTTTTCCAGTTTGCACCAGGTGAGCTGGACCGACTAGGCGCCATCTTATTGTCCTGTACCTTGTCATTATTATAAATCTGATGCCAAACCAGCGGCAACAAAAGCAGAGTCCACAAACCAGTGGGTGACGTCACAGTGGCTATGTCCGTTATCTTATAAAGTCTACAGATTTCACAGCACCTAAAGGCCACCGTAGGTTCTCTACATGGACAGGGAGGACTACTCCTACACACTTCTCCTTCAATAGATAAAATGTCTGCTCTGAAGTTAAACACCTGACAAATCAAAGTTCTTCATCACATTGATGCAAAGATCCGGTAAATGTCTGAAAGCAGTTAATACTCATTCATTTGCAACATTTGTTGTAAAACCAGAGATATTAAAGGGACAGATAAACGTTTGTATCGTCAGTTTGTATGATCATACTGGGCCCAACCCTACAGACATCCAAACGCAAACCTGCACAACAACATTAAAAAGGCTGTTAACTTATATTTTTGTCTGCACAGGTCGGACGCTTCTGCGTCTGTACATCAGCACGTTACACATCCAGTATTCTCACCATGTTATCTGTTTGTAGGAGAGCAGCTGTCTGACTCCACTGTTTCAGGGTATTTTGGCTACACTCAGCTTGTTCCATTTTGTACAATAATTCTGAAATGATGAAACTTTTAAGATTCGAGAGAAAAATGTTTGTTGTTAGTGGTTATAATTTGGGTTATTCAGAGCAGGAGGACAAATGTGAGCATCACGCTGAAACAGAACAAGATTTAATATCAACTATTTAAAACCAACTTGTTGAGCCACGTTGCTTTGACAGATCAATTCTTTTGTCCGATCAGCTGGTTGAAAGGCCTCAGAGTGCTGACGTCACCATCATGAAATGTTCCAGTGCTTTGTGTGCGTGTAAATGTACGGAGGTGAAACAGAAGGTGTGCGTGATGAGTTGTTGTGAGCCTCGACCTTTCAGAACGCCCTGTGATCAACATATAGTGTCTTTAAGTGTTTGTTTGCCTTCGAGGCTTTAATATTCTGTAACAGTTTAGCATAGAACCATCTAGACAGCTGTCCGTAATATTTTTGTATCTCGACAAAAATACTTTTCAGAGTATTGATGTACTGTACCTGTACAGGTGGGAGGGTTAAAAATATTATGTCTCTTATGTTTTATTGTTGCCAAAGAGATGTTGTGTTGTGGTTCAGGGGCAACAGAGGAGCTTCGGCCTGTTCGTTAACAAACAACGTACAGGTGAGGTTTTGGCTTGCGATACTGTCAGTAACATGTGCCCCCACACTGACCTGGTCACATCATTACCTTCTGTACCTTCTATCAAATATAAATAAAGTCTGTTTTACACATCTTCAGATATCTTTTGACCGTTTGTTCATTTGTAACCCAAGGTTGCTTTAGTTCGTATCATTTTATCTCTTCATTTATACATCTAGATTTAAGGAAAACCAGTCACAAATACATCCATCCATTTTCAACCACTTATCTGAGGCCGGATCCCGGGGGCAGCAGGCTGAGCAAAGCAACCCGGCGACATCCCTCTCCCCAGCAACACTTTCCAGCGTTCCCAGGCCAGATGAAATATACAATCCCTCCAGTGTGTTCTGGGTCTGCCCCGGGGCCTCCTACCAGTTGGACATATCCGGAACACCTCTAATGGGAGGATCCTGATCAGATGCCCGACCATCTTAACTGACCCCTTTTGATGTGAATGTCCAACCCTATCTCAAAGGCTGAACCCAGACACCCCACGGTGGAAACTCATTTCGTCCGCTTGTATTGTAATCTCATTCTTTCGGTCACTACCCAGAGCTCATGACCACAGGTGAGGGTTGGGACATAGATGGACCAGTAAATCAAAAGCTTCACCTTCCAGCTCAGCTCTCTCTTCACCACGATGGTGCAGCACAACACACGCATCACTGCAAGACCCTGACTCGTGAATAAGACCCCGAGATACTCAAACTCCTTCACTTGAGGCAGTAACTCTCTCCCGACCCTAATCCCAACATTACAGTACAACACAATGTGGGTTAATCCTTGATTCTTTATTCTCAAAATTAAATTGAAAAACAGACACTGCCATCAAATCACATGATACAGGTTCACATTTGTAGGATATAAGTCGTCATGTATCACTCTGAGTTACACTGATTCAGGTTTTATCAGTTTGAGTACAAAGATTTGTATTTAACAGGTGTTCTTTCTCCCATTTGTCAAATACCGACACATCTGTGTGAGACACACTTCATTAGACACTCCAAGCTACTGATGTAAAGAGCAAGAAAGTCTGGTTAGGGCAGGAAGTCAGGGTGGTGGACGGGTCAAACTAACACAGGACATTCACCCAGGAGACTGCTGTTTGTGTCCTCCGTAAAACCAAAAGTCAACATTGAGTTATTTTAACTATGTAATATAGTACTTTAGTGATGAAATGTTTGTCATGTGACCTCACATATGTAACCACGATCTTTTTTAAACCTAACCAAGTGCTTTCGTTGCACAGATCTAAAAATAAAGTAGCTCAGTCCATAGGGACTTTGGTTGGGAAACGGAGTGTCGCCTGTTCAAGGCCCTGTCCGGACCAAATATGGAGCGAGCACTGGTAGCTGGAGAGGTGCCAGTTCACCTCCTGGGCGCTGCTGAGGTGCCCTTGAGCAAGGCACCAAACCCCCCAACTGCTCGGGGCACCTGACATCTCTCCACTTTGTAGGTCCTGTTTGTGCATGTGTGTGTATTTCAGACCTGTGTGTAATTGAATTTCCCCTCAGGATTAATAAGGTATAGAAAATAAATAAAATAAAAAAAGAGACTGTGTACATGTCGTGATCATAAACTCTACATTTCCTGTGATAACTGAAGTTTATTTTGAAAAGACACTGCATGCACGTAACCAGCAGGATCTGATGGGTACCTACAGTGTCATAGTTTGAGGCATAGGCCACTGACCATGCGTCGGTTTTTGACCAGCTGGGAGAGAGAACACATTAACTTCAAGCTGCTGAGATCTGATTTTTTTAACATATAACTACAACCAGGTATAAACTCAGCCTGCAGTGCCATCTAGTGGTTCAACCTGGTCTCATAGAAATACATGACACAAACTCTTAGTTTGACACGATGACAATGTCAATTCAAAGTCAGTGAGGATGTTTTGTGGACACACGAATTGAGTACAAAGAGCAATAAAGTCTGTATAGGGCCGGCAGCAGCGGATGGGTCAAACAAAGATGGACTTTTAACCACCCAGCCATGTAGGTCGTAAATGAACTGGAAAATGGGCCCTTTGTTGGATTGTCCAAGAGTTCCATAATGGCCCCATGCCAAATGCTCACATGAGAGGGTTTAATCAAGTTGGTCTAAGATATGAAATGCCCACTTTGGGCCCATACCCACTTACCATGACCCATGTGGGGCCCACTTGTGTCTGGTAAAATCACCACCGTGTTGCTAGCATGTGATTTTAACATATTTCATGCAAACCCCCACGTTCTGTGTGGTCAAGAGCTTGTGACCATTTCATGTATTTCTGTGAGACGGTGTTGAGCGGCTGCTACATGCTCTGTGGTACCTGCATGGTACATCACAGTGTACAATTATACAGTACTTTATTAGAGTTGGGTGTGGTCACAGATACAAACTATTACACCCAGCTGTGATCAACAGAGTTAAACCTCTCAGCAGTAATGATTTTCCTACATGCAGAATTTGAAGTGGAGTTGAGTCTCATGTGAGAAACTCATTATTGTGAGATGAATTCCCTTTCACATTTAGAAAAATTAAACTAAGGCACATTTTGCTGGAGCTGTGTCGTCTGCAGCACAAGTGGCAAAACTTAAAAGCAAATTAAAAATGTGCTTCATACTTACAACTTTATCATGCAGTGCTTTAATATCAGATGATTCGAATCAGTTTTTAAAATCAGTGTCCCCATTTAAAACAGACTGTCAAGCTCTTAAACCTTAGTGTTAATTTTTATGAGTTGTGAAAGGGAAACCACTCGACAGTTCCACTTAAAGTTTAACAATTCGTACATATCCTCACTTGCATCAGATTATCAGGGGGCAAAGTTTAACAGCAGACTCACTCAAATTCCAAAAAAACAAAACAAACCATAGTGTCTGATTCACCGCTCGTGGCGTCCAAATGTTGGTATACACCTCTGAGGTTTCTGTCCCCACTCCAACATAATGAAGGACAATGGGGTTTCATTCATTTCAGCTTTTTGTGAGCACCACAAATTAAAGTTATTTCATCCCCGTCGTGTTGTGGAGGCTAGACTCTGAGAGACATGTATCTCAAGATCTCAAGCCTTTAAAGGTTCTGTATGTAACTTTATTAAAATCCTTGTTATCAGTGAGTTCTCCTCTTTCTGAGGCTGTTACGTGAACTGCAGTCAGCATCTGTCAGCATCTGTATCTCTGTAGCCACAGATAGATACAAATGATTAACACGTAAAACGTTACACACAGAACCATTGTTTTTTAATGAAAGGCCAATATCATCATCAGCTCAGTGTAACTAACAATAACCTGATCAGTGGGTTCCTGACTGCTCGTCTCTCTACATCAGTTTTCTTAAACATGACAGAAGACAATATGTAATCACGTTTGTCTCTGTTGATCGTATGATTTCATTACTCTGTTGAAGATCTTACAAACAGCTTGTACACAATATTAATCAAACATCAAATCAATGTAATCTGATTACAGTGCAATATTACTGTACAACTATTATTGCAGAATATAGGACTTCCTGTCAGTACATAATCAGCTGAATAAACAGTACTATGAGTCGTGTGCTTATCGGTTATGATGCTATCACTCAGCATGAATTTATTCCACAGACACTGCTGATTTTTCTGGCTAGTCTACTGTCTCTGCTGTGTTTCAGTTTCTCTCCGACCAGTCCTACTTTAGATTATCCGTCTTTGTCCAGACACATCACAGACTTCTCTGTGCTTCACCAGGTGTGTGTAACAGTGTTCACGCAGCACCAACATGAGTTGCACGTTCGCCCTGTGAGGAGGCAGTATTAGCAGGTGAGGCTAAAAGGTGAAACACCTGACGAGATGTAAAGCCCTTTTGTGGACGAGGCGGGGGAAGAAGCTGTATTATAAAACCACACAGACGTCGTCGAGCAACTTCTCAGGCCGGCTGCAGATCCTGTCAGTCTATATGAGGAGCCAGTTGTCAGTCTCTGAGCGGTGATACGATGTAAGAGGCAGAAATATGAACCAAGTGAGCTGTGCAGGCTAACGTATATTCTTATATCACCACATGCTCCTTGAAGAAATCCACTGCTGTCCATCATGATCACTCATAAATGTGATACAACTCTGAGGGAAACAATCAAGAGCAAATTCAAGAATTCATCCGGCTTTTAGTGTGCTAGAAAATCAAACATGAATCAGGTCTAACTTTCATTTACATCATCACTCAACTAAACTGTAAATGTGGATATTTATGTTGCACTTCATTTGCTGGTCGTAATAATTGTATCTCTATAGAAACACTATACTGTGGTTGAATCAGAGCTTCACAGCTGAGGGACCAGAGATCCTTCTGCAGCTGCTTTAAATCAACACAGAGCTCATTACTCCTCCTCCGGGGGAGTGGAGGCCTTCTCCAGGGAGTCATAGTGAGCTTCATCAGGCTGCTCTTCCTCCACTTCCTCCTCCTCCTCATCATCAGAAAGGGGTGGTTTGGGCGGAGCCTCCACGGCCGGCTCGATGGGCAGATCATCGCTGTGAGGACGAGAGAAGAAACTGTGAAAAAAAAAAAACATTATTTATGTATTTATTTTATTTGATAATGATGTCATGCAAATCATGCAAGAAATAAAACATATCAGAAAAAAGAGCGCACAGGATGACTCAGCTCTTTTTTCCAGCAACAACAAGTGAATAAAGTGAAGTAAATAAAAGTCTCATGAGTTATGCACAAAGAAAAAGAAAGATAGAGGGAAAACTGAGACATGATGCTGAAACATGCAACACACTGAAACTGCACACAGCCCACAGGTCAGTCTGCCGTGACATCACAGGAAAACAAACAGTGATGGTAATAACCCAACAGCCGCTCCACCACACCCAAAGCAGACATGATAATGAAGCAGTTTTCTGTGATGATGGAAAGCTGACAGAAGAAGTGGTTGCATGAAGACCCTGCAGACCAAGGGTCAGTCACTTACGATGGGATTTGGTCACTCAAAATCGGGCGTAATCAGGCCCTGTACTGAAAGGCAGAGACAGTCCCCACGTGTCAACACTCATCATCTTCTCAATCACACAGAGACATGTTTAATATGGTGCAGTCTAATCATTACAACATGTGCTCTTACATGGCTTTACTGTTACACTCTGCATATCTAAATGTTGTCAACAGACACTGTCAGTAGTGTTGAAGGAGCACTGTGTAGGCTTTATAACATGAGACCATGACTGAGACGACTGGGAGACTTCACTGTTTCCTGTCCAGGCAGGATGTTGAGTTTATTGTCCTCTGTTCCCCTCCACTCTCCCAGCTGACAGCGCCAACTGCTTTTTTTTTTTGTTTGTTTATTGTTTGTTTGTTGACCTAAACCTTACATTCATTATGACATTTTTTAATTAAACATATTTTTATGAATATTTATGGCAGACTCACTCACGTTTTTATGCCATATTATACTTTTTTGGCATTTTAACGCCTTATACTGTCACATTTTTCGTCTTTCTTGACGTCATATTATAGTATGTTTTCTTTTACAACATATGATACTGCATCATTTTTTTATGACATTATATATAATAACGTTTTTCCATAGTTTTCAAAGACATACTATACCATGACATTTTTTCCTGATTTTTGAACACATGCTATACCATGATGGATTTTTTGACCCGTCATGGTATAGCAACAAAATGACATTTTTTCATGATTTTAAATGCCATACTATATTCAGTCCAATTTCAATTTTATTTATAAAGCCCACCATTACAAATCACAATTTGCCTCACAGGGCTTTACAGCATACAACATCCCTCTGTCCTTTGGCTGATACTGTGATATTTTTTCATGAGTTTTGACAACATACTACACTGTGATGTTTTATGATATTTTTTGATGACTTACTATACTATGACGTTTTATTCTAAATTTGGACGACATGCTGTACTATGACTTTTTTTCATAATTTCTGACGACATACAATACTATGACGTTTTTTCATAATTTTTGACGACATGCTATACTATGATGTTTTTTTCTGATTTTTGACGACATGCTATACTATGACGTTTTTTCATAATTTTTGACGACATACTATACTATGACGTTTTTTTCATGATTTTGGACGACATACTATACTATGACGTTTTTTCATGATTTTTGACAACATACTATACTATGACATTTTTTCATAATTTTTGACGACTTACTATACTATGATGTTTTTTTCATGATTTTGGACGACATACTATACTATGACTTTATTTCATAATTTCTCACGACTTACTATACTATGACTTTTTTTCATAATTTCTGATGACATACAATACTATGACGTTTTTTCATAATTTTTGACGACATACTATACTATGACGTTTTTTCATGATTTTTGACAACATACTATACTATGACATTTTTTCATAATTTTTGACGACTTACTATACTATGATGTTTTTTTCATGATTTTGGACGACATACTATACTATGACTTTATTTCATAATTTCTCACGACTTACTATACTATGACTTTTTTTCATAATTTCTGATGACATACAATACTATGACGTTTTTTCATAATTTTTGACGACATACTATACTATGACGTTTTTTCATGATTTTTGACGACATACTATACTTTGACATTTTTTCATAATTTTTGACGACTTACTATACTATGATGTTTTTTTACATAATTTTTGACGACATACTATACTATGACTTTTTTTCATAATTTCTGACGACATACAATACTATGACGTTTTTTCATAATTTTTGACAACATGCTATACTATGATTTTTTTTATGATTTTTGACGACATGCTATGACGTTTTTTCATAATTTTTGACGACATGCTATACTATGATGTTTTTTTCTGATTTTTGAAGACATGCTATACTGTGACGTTTTTTCATGATTTGGGATGACATGCTATACTATGACATTTTTTCATAATTTTGGACGACTTACTAAACTACGATGTTTTTTTCTGATTTTTGACGACATGCTATACTTTGACATTTTTTCATAATTTCTGACGACTTACTATACTATGATGTTTTTTTCTAATTTTTGACGACATGCTATACTATGACGTTTTTTCATAATTTTGGACGACTTACTAAACTACGATGTTTTTTCTGATTTTTGACGACATGCTATACTATGATGGGTTTTTTTTTTATAATTTTTGACTACCTGATATACTATGATGTTTTTTCATGATTTTTGACGACGTACTTCACTATGACGTTTTTTCATGATTTTTGACGACATGCTATACTATGTTTTTTTCATGATTTTTGACGACATGCTATACTATGATGTTTTTTTCTCATTTTTGACGACATGCTATACTATGACTTTTTTTCATAATTTTTGAAGACATACTACACTATGACATTTTTTCATTATTTTTCACAACATAGTGTACTATGACAATTTTTCATAATTTTGGACGACATGCTATACTATGATGTTTTTTTCATGATTTTGGACAACATGATTCATGATTTTGGACAACATGACTTTTTTTCATGATTTTGGACGACGTACTATACTATGAGAATTTTTCATGATTGTTGACGACAAACTATACTATGACGTTTTTTCATAATTTTTGACGACATACTATACTATGACATTTTTTCATAATTTTTGACAACATCCGAAACTATGACGTTTTTTCATAATTTTTGACGACATACGATACTATGATGTTTTTCTCTTGATTTTGAACGACATGCTATACTATGATGTTTTTTCATAATTTTTGACAGCATACTATACTATGATGTTTTTCTCTTGATTTTGGACGACATGCTATACTATGATGTTTTTTCATAATTTTTGACAGCATACTATACTATGATGTTTTTTTTCATAATTTTTGACGACATACTATACTATGACATTTTTTCATAATTTTTGACGACTTACTATACTATGTTTTTTTTCATAATTTTTGACGACATACTATACTATGACTTTGTTTCATGATTTTTGACGACATACTATAACTTTTTTCATAATTTTTGACGACATGCTATACTTTGACATTTTTTCATAATTTCTGATGACTTACTATACTATGATGTTTTTTTCTAATTTTTGACGACATGCTATACTATGACGTTTTTTCATAATGTCTGAAGACATACTATAGTATGACGTTTTTTTCTGAATTTGGATGACATGCTATACTATGATGTTTTTTTTTTTTTTATAATTTTTGACTACCTGATATACTATGATGTTTTTTCATGATTTTTGACGACATGCTATACTATGATGTTTTTTTCATGATTTTGGACGACATGCTATACTATGACGTTTTTTTTCATAATTTTTGATGACATACTATACTATGACTTTGTTTCATGATTTTTGACGACATACTATACTATGATATTTTTTTTCATAATTTTTGACGACATAATATACTATGATGCTGTTTTCATAATTTTTGAGAACATACTATACTATGACATTTTTTCATAATTTTTGACGACAGACTATACTATGACTTTGTTTCATGATTTTGGACGACATACTATACTATGACTTTTTTTCATGATTTTTGACAACATACTATACTATGATGTTTTTTTCATAATTTTTGACGACATACTATACTATGACTTTTTTTCATGATTTTTGGCAACATACTATACTATGATGTTTTTTTCATAATTTTTGACGACATGCTATACTATGACTTTTTTTCATGATTTTTGACAATATACTATACTATGATGTTTTTTTCATAATTTTTGACGACATGCTATACTATGACTTTTTTCATGATTTTTGAGGACGTACTATACTATGACATTTTTTCATAATTTTTGAGGACATACTATACTATGACATTTTTTTCATAATTTTTGACAACATACTACACTATGATGTTTTTTTCATGATTTTGGACGACATGCTATACTATGACTTTTTTCATGATTTTTGAGGACATGCTATACTATGACGTTTTTTTCTAATTTTTGACGACTTACTATACTATGATGTTTTTTTCTAATTTTTGACAACATGCTCTACTATGAAGTTTTTTTATAATGTTTGAAGACATACTATAGTATGACGTTTTATTCTGAATTTGGATGACATGCTATACTATGACGTTTTTTCATAATTTTGGATGACTTACTAAACTACGATGTTTTTTTCTGATTTTTCACGACATGCTATACTTTGACATTTTTTCATAATTTCTGACGACTTACTATACTATGATGTTTTTTTCTAATTTTTGACGACATGCTATACTATGACGTTTTTTCATAATTTTGGACTACTTACTAAACTACGATGTTTTTTTCTGATTTTTGACGACATGCTATACTATGATGTTTTTGTTGTTTTTTTTTTTATAATTTTTGACTACCTGATATACTATGATGTTTTTTCATAATTTTTGACGACGTACTTCACTATGACGTTTTTTTCATGATTTGGGACAACATACTATACTATGACTTTTTTTCATAATTTTTGAAGACATACTACACTATGACATTTTTTCATTATTTTTCACAACATAGT